GTTCTAGAAACTTTAAGACTCTCAACATGTGCTACCAGTGTCAGTTGACGCAACGCCGTCACAACACACTAGCGAATCTTCTAGAATATTTGGCACGTGACCCCGCTGTCGTAACACACTAGCGAATCTTCTAGAATACTCATCACGTGACCCCCCACTGTCGTAACAGTATATTTTTGACAGTTACAAAACATTTAAGAAAAGCATTAATGTATTATGTTTGTAATTATTAATACAAATAGTATTCAATGATCATTTCTTTCTCATTTTTAACAAATATTTCAATTATAATTAGTGCAAGCTTTTCCAATAATTAAAGATGTAAGATTTAAAATAGGTTTATTATACTGTTTGGTTATATATTCAAATAGATGTCAGGATTTAGTATAGCTGAATAACAAATAAATGTGTAATATGTTCAATATATTTTATTAATATATAAAATTAGAAATATATTTGAGCAAACAAATGGACTTCAAAATGAAATGAATAAAAGCAATTTAATTTAAAATGTTTTTTTTTTTACATATTTCTAAAAAGAGAACTATTAAAGAAATAGCCAGCCAGTTTCAAACTTTCATCAATTCCACCTCCACTATTTTGTTTGTACATGTATCACTCACACCATTAGATGTAAAAGTTTACTAATATTTATAGTTTTGAAAGCATTAATGTGTCACTTGTGGTGTCACCCAGTAAAGTTCCCCATCAGTGGTGTAAGTACATGCTCTTGCGCCTGATAAACCTGAGAGTTGCCAATAAGGGGAATAAATATAGGGGGCCCAGTTACTTTTTATTTGAGGGAGGCAGGGGCATTTTTTGAGTTATGGCATTGTTCCCATTACTAGTCTTATGAAGACTTATTTTGATATTGTTTGCAAACAGTGAGAAACTTTTTTGAGTTTTGTCTGAAAAACAATTAAAAAAAAGAACTATCAAGCATTTTTGTTGAACTTCTGTCAAGGTATGCTAAGATGATTCTTTAATGACTGTTTTCATTATACTTTAGGAATTATATTTTTAGCTTAATTTTTTCTTTTCTAGAATGCACTCGCTGAAAGTCAAGACAAGGCACTGCGAAGAATTGGTGAGCTTCGAGAACAGTGTCAACTAGAACAACAAGCCAAAGCTCATCTTGAACAGAACCTCCGTCTCATTTTAGAAGAAAAGGAAGATATGATCAAAGTTATGGAGATGAAGGTAGATAGAAAAATTGTGGTAAAAATCATTGTGAAGAACCACAGTGAATTTAAAAGTTACCTTGATTTAGAAAATTATATATTGATTCTTGTTAAATTTGAATACTGTAAATTCTCTATGTGTTTTACATTATTACAAATCAACAAACCTGATTTTCTGTACAGTGCAGAAACTAGTCTTTTAAATATATATGTAATAACCCTTTGAGTGCTCTGTGAGCAGGCCCAATTTAGTACTCTATAAAATAAATCAAATTTTTTCATGAAATTTAGTATGCAGATCATACTGTGTAAAACACTTTTCTAAATTCTATACCCAAATCTTTTAAATATAGACATAGTTTTATTATAACAATACAATTAATTTTCTGTCATTGTCTTTCAATTATTCATGAAAAAAAGCCTACCTTATTTTGTTATGAGTATTCATTACACACTAGTTTTTATATGTACAGTTATATAAGTTTACAGTACACATTTGTTATGACAATGGAAAGCATGATTTAACACAAATATTAGTATGCTAAGATATATGTTTGGTGTATATGGATGGCCTCATGGCTGATAAATGTTCTTGTCCTTTTAGCACTGATGGGCAATTTCTTGCAATTTTGTTTTTATTGAAAACTATATCAACTATATTAATATTAATATGCATATTCAAATGCTAATTATTTGTATATATAAAAACACACAAATACAGGGTGATTCAGAAATGCATTGACAAATAAATAATGCAGAAATGAAGTATAGGAAAATACTTGTTAGTGTTATGGATTGGAGTGTTGGGGACCCACTCTGGGATGACATTCAAGGTCATGGTCTTCAAATATTTTATTATTATGCATTATATATCTAAAATTTCAGTAGTGAAGGTGTAACTATAACAAATGAAACATTTTAAACAAAAAAAATAATAGCTCCTCAAGAACAACAGTTATAGGCATAAAGCACCTATTTCATGCATATATATTGTGCTGAAGAAAATCCAAGTCCGATCATTACAAGGGTTGTTACACAAACATTCATTTGAAGCACAAGTTCAAAATTTTGCATAAGCAGGTCATAGCAACTTTTGAGGGTCAAGAAGATTAATATGTATTAAAGCTCCTCATAAAAAGTAGCACATAAGAATTGTGTTGCTGCTCCTAGGTTATCCATATGATGGTATAATATTTAGTTTAAGAACAGCTTAACATAGTCCTACTGCATAAAGAGTATTACCAAAACGCCAGGACTTCTGCCAAACGGTGCCTCCATAAACATAACTTTTCACGTCAGTGGCTGCATACTACAGGATCATTTGCATATAGACTCCATGTGAGCTGACAAGTAACAAAAACTAATATTGATAATGAAGGTACCATATAGGCATTTGTCACACAAAATCTGGATACCAATACCAAAATGTTTCTTATAATACTGGGGTTACTCAAGCATTTGTTGTTAAGGTGCTCAACAGAAACAGGTTTCAAGCATTTCATTTGAAAGGTTGCATGATGGCGATTGCAAAAAAAATTATTATATGTGCAATGTGTTTCTGATAGAAATGAGGGAGCATTCAGGGTTCTGGAATAACATTATCTGGACAGATGAAGCCTATTTTGGTTGTGATGGAATTATTAACATTCATAACACTTACTACTGAGCAGACACTAATCTACATTGGCTCAGGAAAACTGTTCAGCTACATGTACCTGAATTCTACACCATGTGATTAACTCTCTCACTATGGGTTCAGTCGCAGGAACTGACCATATAACCATTTTGTGCTTGTTATAGTTTTCATACTATAATTTTTAATACAGTATGCATATCTTTATATAATTTTGTATATTATAACTAAACATTAAAAGGCTTCTGAGCACAAAATATCAGATTTTTTTATTAAGTTTAAGATTTTTCAAATAATGATTTGCTTGTGCATTTTTTCCAACATGCAAAGTAATTTTGATTTTAAGATTAAAAAATAATTCTATACTTCATAAAATTGTCAAATTTCACATGCAAAATCTTTATACCTTCCTAATAAGCTCTATATAATTATCAAATATTATTTTTTTAGAAAAAAACACATTTTATCTGTTATTTTCACTTTTGTATGTATGTATGGGTTTGGTTGATTTGACCAACCTCTTAATCACAATAAAAAATTAAGAAATAGATATAAATTACTCTTTTTTTCATTCTAGAATTACTACAAATTATGAAACGAAACCACAAATGTTCAGTCTAAATAGTGTAAATCTCATAAAATTATACATCTGTATATAATTATTATTTCTATTTTAATGACCTTTCAGCCATGTCTGACTAACATTATAAATGTTGCAATGATGCTGCGCATGTTCACTCATGTTACTGTACCCAATTGTATAAAACTGGCCATTACAAAGTGACCTGTTTTGTATAATACAGTCACATTTCGGTTATAATACATTACATATGTATATATATTACTACTATTTACAAATAAGTTCTTAAATTTAAGTTATTTTTCTTAAAATATAGAACAGTAAATAAATAAATATAGAAAACAATTATCTCTACTAATTACGATTGTAAAGAAATTTGTACTCGCTTGCCGTATCTTGCATGCTAAGCCTTACTGAATTTTGCACTTGGAGGATGTAAAACAAAATAACTTTTTTAGGTTTTATATGTGTATTTTGAAATAACAAAATATGATAAGTTATTTTAACAATATCACAAAATTGCACTGTAATTTATCAGACTTACTAACTTAACTGTATTTGGGTCTAAAAAAAATTGTTTTTCGAACAACATTTTCACTTACCCTTTCCTTCTGAGATTGGAAACAAAAGAAATGATCTTGGGAAATTCCCACCTTCAAGAGGCTGAGAAAACCACGAAGAAGACATTCTGAGCTTTTGTTTGGTTATAAACACATGATAGAGCAAAGCAGGTGCACATAAGCAAGTTTTTCCTAAAATGAAAGAGGTGGCAGACCATTGTTTTTGATTCGTTAAATATAGTGATATCTCAGCAAATATAAAAGATAGGAGGTTCTTATTTTACATTCTTGCTTGACAAGGTCAGTAAAATAAGAAACTATAGACTTTGTATTGGGACATCACAAACATCTAATTTGAACCAAAGCTGCATTCAACATACCATGTGATGTACAAAAATTGATATTTAGGATGTTTTTTTTTTAATATTTACTTTTAAAGTAAGAAATTAACTAATGTATGATACTGACATTTGAATTATAATCTACAATTTGATACCAAACCTTTTGACATACATTCATAAAATAGTCGAACAACAAAATTTTGAATGAAGTCTGCAAACATGATGACATGTCCTTTAACCCATAACCATAGGAAAATCTGTAGTGATAGGATTAAAGGGGCCAAGCACCTGCTGTTACTGCAAGCAGTAGTGTTGGAGGTTCTAGGTACTTACCCATTACCATTTTGAATACTCTGCAGTATATACTATTCACAGTTAGCTAGATCACACTTTTATAGGACATTGAATTTTCTCTCCTTTCCCTATAGATTTTTTGTGTGTGACATATTGGGAATATATAAAAGAATGTGCTTGTGCAACTGTGCTCGATGATGGAGTAATGTATTGAAGTTCCATATACTGGAGTTTGTGGTGAATTACCAGAAGATGTACATGTCAGCAATGTCGAACACATCCAGACACATTATTGCCAATGGGCATCACTTCAAACACAGCTTTTGATTGCCATCATATTGTAATACCTTTAGGATGTTAACCTTATATGCATTTATGCTTATAATTGTTATCATTGTGAAGTGATTTTGGTGAATTTGGATTGTAAATGTTTCTGTTGTAATTTTATACACCTTTGCACTTCTACTTGTGTCACAAGGTTTTAGTGAGTTACATTCAAAATTTACTTAACCCTTCATATGAGGTTTGTGTAAATATGCCTACCGCTTCATGTGTTAAGATTCTTGAATTTTTGCAGCAGCCCATTCAAAATGTTACATGAAAAATGCTTGCATCATATGACAACTGCATTTGCCTACACTAACATTATATGATGTCAACTGCAGTTGAAGGTTACAGTACTTTGTTATCATGGTATACAGATAAATCCAAAATAAAAACACAGCTAATAAATCACATTTTAATAGTATGTGCATTTTAAGTTCTTAATTTTATAAGGCAATCTTAAAAAACGTCCTTAATTTCCCATAGTATGAGAATTGTGGAATTTTACTCTAGTCATACCCTCTTTTCTAATTTATTTTCCACCTCACCAAGAAATATGAAATTTAAAGTAAATTACTCATTGTAATGTTGTCATCCCTAAGGCAAAGCATAATTTTCATAGCCTTCAATCTTATTTTGTTACAAAGCAATAAAATACAAAATCATACATCTCTTGCCATGCCCACCTGTTGAAATTGCCAGTTTTTATCTTTGGTGTTCAATACTATATTATCTATAACCAATAGAAAGCCAAGGTTTTAATCTATCGAATGACGTATTATATTACTTTGTTTTCTGCACAGAGAATTGTCAGTTTCATTTCCAGTTCAAGCTTTATTCCCACAGGAAACACATCGATGAGTTTAGCTGAATTTCTAATTGATCTTTTAGCATAGTTAGAAAGCCAGGAAATTTATGATAGTTATGAGACATATTCCACTTTTGTTATGATGTTATTCTGTGTTCTTTTGAGCATTACTTAATTAAATAAAAAATTATTTAGTGCAGTAGTACCATTAGTGTGAAAAAAAAAAGTAGGGTTAAGTGTCATCGTGACAGTCAACAGTCAAGAAAATAAGACCCAGATAAGTACTTTATTTCACGTTTTTCATGTGGGGTTCTATGTTTATTATTATAAAAGTCACAAAAATGTAAAAATTGGACAACTTTTAGGTTAGGTAAGGTAAAATAAATAATAATAATCATTTTTCACAAGGTATGCTGACGAGCAACTGGGGAGTAGTTTGAATATTATGTAATTCGATACCATAACATAAGCTGCATGTT